AGAGAGAGGAACGAGGCAGCGTGTCGCCATGTGGCACACGTGATGCTGCCACATGTCAATGTGAGGGAAGACCGTGGCAGCCCTCGCCACATGGCACACGTGGCACACGCGTGGCAGCGTCAGTTAGTGCGTTTGTCTTTGTACTTATATAATTTTTGCAGGGTAATGGCTAGGCACTGTCAGATAGGGGAATGGACCGAAGTAAGCTCCTTCTGAGTCCCGATTGTTTTCTGTAACACTTGTTCCTGATTTCCTTTAGCCCTCACTGCCCCACAAGGGCCCACAGTGACAAAATTAATGTCAGGGGTCAGCAATGCACATTTGCAACAGACGGGATCGTGACTGACATTCAACCTTTCGCAAATGCGAGAGGCTACGTGACAATCTGGCCGCCGCGGCCGAAAAAGTCGGCCGAGGCCTATTTTGTGGCCCGTTTTTTTGGATATTTTTTTGGGGGGTCAAAAAATACGCGAAAATATACATATATATATATGGGGTTGTAGGGTTTGCAAAACCCTACAACCCCATAATTTTTGTTTTTGAATCTGACTTCATTTAAGAGTTTTAAAAAATGAAAACCGAAAAACAGGTAAAAAGAAAAATAAATAAAAATAAATAAAAGAAAAGCAGGAATTTTTTTTTACCATTTTTTTCATGACTGCTATGGAGTTAGAGTCCTAAAAATTTTGCAGACGTAATTTTGTTTTTTCTTCTTCGTGTTCTTCTTTTTCTTCTTTGCTGTTTTTGTTTTTTTTCCTTCTTTTTTTTTCGTCTTCTTCTTTGCTGTTTTTTTTCTTCTTATTTTTCTTCTTCTTCTTCCTTGCTGTTTTTTTTTTCCCTCCATCATCATCTTCTTCTTCTTCTTCTTCTTCTTCTTCTTCTTCTTCTTCTTCTTCTTCTTCTTCTTCTTCTTCTTCTCCTCCTCCTCCTCTTCCTCTGTCTTCCTCTTCTTCTTCGGGCAATTCTACGATGGTAATCAGAACATGGAAATATACACTCCC